AAAAAATTTTGCCATCTAGAGCCGGGTGTGGTGGCACACACCTGTAATCCCAGCACTTGGGAGGCTGAGGCAGGAGGATGATGGTGAGTTCCAGGCCAGCCTAGAATATATAGTGAGTTTAAGGCTAGTCTGAACCATATAACAAGACCCTGTCTCAAAAAAAAAAAAAAAAAAAGTTTTGCCATCTACTTTTCTGACAGAGGACTAACATCTACAATATATAAACTCAAAATATATAACTCAAAAAAAAACACACCCAATTGTGGTGGATTAACTAACGGTCATCTTGGAACACCCAGCTGAATTGAATCAGCATGGTTTGGGCGTGGAAGACTTACCTTAGGACTGTTGCCAACGGCATAAAAAGAGGACTAGAGGGGAAGATCAGGGCTGTTGATTTCTAGGAGAAGCTTGCTGAGGCTGATTTTCCTGATGGGAGCTGGGTGTTCTCATCAGAGGAGGAGCTTGGGTGGCTGCTGTTCTGGTCAGGGGAGCTCTGATCTTCACTGTGAGCCTCACTTTCTGGCTCCGGCATGGATCCCTCAGCCTGGTGGCACAAATCATCTCACCGGTGGAGGTTTTCTGTCTTCCACCACTGGCCTTTGGGCCTTCAGGTGCAGATCCTCAATACACACAAGCATGAGACCTTGCCGTGGGCTCTGGGCCACTGGCTGGACTCGTGGAGGACACTGCCTTGGACTCTAGGCCTTCAGCTGGACTTGTGTGGGACATTGCTGTGGCGTCCAGACCCTTGGCTGGATTATTTGGGTCTCTAGTGTGTGGCTAGATCCCTTCCACTCCTCTGCATTTGACTTTTTGGGTAATTTTTATAAAATATCCTATTAATTATGTGTCCCATGTTAAATCTATTCCCTTGCAAAACCCTGTAACACCAATGCAAAAAATGAGCAAGTGAACTAAACAGACATTCTCAAAAGAAGTACAAATGGCTTCATGTTTTTAATGCTGCTAAAAATCCTTGACAGGTGCACACTCTCGTGTCCCTGTGTGAGGTCAGTGATGCATTCCACTTTGTAGGTGTGGAAATTGAGGCTCAAAGAGGGCGTGTTGGTGCCCGAGGTCACAAAGCCCAGAAGTGACTCCGCCCTCGTGCAATCTGCCCGGCTGAGCCAAGTGTGGGAGAGGCCAGGCTGCCTGGGGACCCTGCTGTGGCAGGAGGCACCTGAAGAGCTGTATAACCTCCACTGTGGGAGCCCTTCATGCACGGCACCTTCAGCTCATCTCCACAGCCACTAGGAGAGGGGGCCAAGGGACACAGTGCATTGAGCTGCCCGGAGACTCATCTTCCCTCCCTAAACACGGCTCATTTTCCTGCAGCCTTTTGCGGAATAACTCCTGCCTGAAGCACACTTCCCAGGGATACAGCTCATCGTGGGCCTTTCCCATCTGCCCTGCAGGGCCTGGCTCAGTAAGAGCTCAAGGAATGGCAACACGTGTTTTATAGTGCTCTGTGGTTACTCTGTAGAAATCACATTAAGCCACCCAGGGCAGCCTTGATCAAGGACAAATGCAAAATGCAGGGGTGAGCGGGTGAGCCAGCAGCCCCACCCCCACCCGCAGCAGGGGAGGTCTGGAGGTGGCTTGGGCAGCACACCCTGGGCTGGGAGGGCTGCCATGCCTGTGCCTCCACCTCCAGGAGCCCTGGCTCCCTCTAGGCCTGGGTGGCAGCACCGTGGAGCAGGAGCTGTCACACAGCTGGTACCCGGAGCCAGCCTGCAAGAGGAGCAGCTGTGGCTTCTCTGGAGGATTCTCTACCTTCACTAGGGTCCGGGATGGCATGAAAATTCCTGCCGCCTGTGGCTGGACCACAGGAGCCACTTCTGCAGGATGACCTCAGAGATGAGCCAGAGCCCTCATCTGCAGAAAAGCAGCTCATCTGCTCGGCATCGTCTGCACCATCCTGACATGGCTGGCCTCACCTGTAAAGCTCCTCCTGCAGTGAAACCTGGACAAGTTCTCCCCAGATGCTCGGTCTCAGTTTCCTCGTCGTGTTAAAGACCTTAAAGGACCTCTCAGGCCCCACGTAAAGGTGCTGTTTGTCTTCAAGCATGGCACACATTGAAATCACAGTGTTTTTGTTTCTGTTTTTTGTTGTTTGGTTTTGTTTTTGCCTGCTAAGTGATTCTTCTGGTCCTGGTGCAGCTGTAATTACAGGGCTACATGGCTCATTCCTCTGGCAGGGTGAGGTGTGCAGGTGCCTAAACTGAGCTGCGCACCCTCCACTTTGTGACTACTCTTCAGGAGCTGATGGGAGGAAAATCTGCCTTTTAGAGGAGAGAGCAACAGTGGCACAGGAGAAAGCAGGAGAAAGCGCTGGGTTTCTGCCAGTTGTCCCTGGTAGTTCTGGAAGCCAGGAAGTCCCTGATCAAAGCAGCCCCCGTGTGTGAGGCTGCTTCCTGGTTCATACCGCTGTCTTCTCACTGTAACCTCACGAGGGGAAGGTGCAAGGAGCACTGGGGGCCTGGGGTAAGGGCAAGAGTCGGTGTCAACACGTGACTCAGGCGGACACAAACCTTCAGTCTGCAGCAGTCCCTGAGACCACAGGCCCTGGTGGGGGCCATGTTCTCTATTATTCACGTGAATACATGTTTGTTGCTGCTATGAAGGGGCTGTGGATAGGTCCCCACTCAGGGTATGGCATGGAAAGGCCTGGGGTCAGACACAGGGGAGTTGGTGTCCAGTGCGGACTGAGGGCAGGGAACACCCACCGCCCTGGAGCCGGGGCTTGTGTCAGGGACTGCAGGTGGTACAGAAGCTACAAAAAAACAGGGGCCTGCATTTTACAACCATGAAAACATGCGCTGGGGAGAGGCCCCCGAGCTGCAGAGGGCAATGCAGCCCCTCTGCTGCCTCCACATTAGCCTGTGGGGCCCGAGCCAAAACCCAGCCCGGCTGGGCCGACCTCAGCCCCGGAACTGCTCACTGATAAAGGGGCGTCACCTTGCGCCAGTGTTGTGGTAATGTTTGTGCAGCGGTGGAAATCCAATACACCTGAAACACCGCAGTGAGGGACTCTGGGAGTGAAGGGGCAGAGAAGGCTCACAGTATGTCCTCCATCACTCCAGCCGCCTTCTACGAGTGTGTCCATGTTGTCCTCTCCAGCACTCTGGAACGAGACCTTGCCCCAGTGTGTCCATGACCAACATGTCGGACTGAGCCCCGTAGTCTCACAGTGGTTTCCAAGCGAGCTCACCCAAAGAAAGCAAACCAGAGTTGTGGAGGGTGTTTACGGGGGCCGTCTATGAATTCTATTCATTCTTTTGAAAAGAAAGTCTGTGCCATTCTTCTGAAAGTCAAGTCCCTAAGGGAGACAAGGATTAGAAAGTGAAATGCTGCCACCTGCAGGCAGAGAGCAGCCTGCAGAGGAACCCACAGCAACCAGAGTCCCCGGCTGTGCAGGCCTCAGCACCCCTGGGGCCTTTAGACAGACGCGCAGGGCTCCGCCATCCTCACCCCAGGTGCCAGGGAGTTGGGGAAGGACTTCAGGAAACCAGCAAGGAAACTGCCAAGGGATAAAATTAAAGACAGGTTCAATCACACGCAATCTGCTTTGGTACGTGGATTCACTGCACAACAGCGTGCGATTGCAGGACAGGCAGGAATGAGCACACAGGCGAATTCCTGCGTGGTGATTCTGCTTGTGATTAAGTAGATATCTGCTTAGAAAGTTAAATATTGCTTCTGTCATGGGCAAAACATACAGAAACCAGAAAATATGTTAAAGGAGACGAATTTTTTTAAAAACTCATCTTTTCCACGTACATTAAGAAAAATGACACATTTGCCCATCTGTGCCTGCACTGAGCCTGTCCAGATGAACCTGGGCTGGGGTTCACTGTACCCCCATCTGGAAGTTTGAGGATCAAGAAAATAAGCCACCCTCATGGACTTTACTTTAAAATAAAATACCTTTCATATTTTCGTATTTATACCTGACAATTTTGATCTTCAAGATCATCTTGCAAGACAGTCTGTCCGGTGCTTGCAGAATACACAAGGTCACTATGAAATTTCCCATGGAAGTTAAAAGTCCATTTGGTATGTGAAAAAGATTTTACTTTTCTAAATAAATTCTAACTTTGATTCCATGAAGTGGGCAGAGCAAGTCTTCCCACAGGCGATGGCTGCAAATCTTTATAGGCATTCGCATGTGTGTGTGTTCATGGCTTTGTAAATATGTGGGTGGGAGCAAGTGGGAAAACTCTGCCCAAAAACCCCACTGTCTATTTCCAGGCAGTGAAACATGGCTGATGTTTTACTATCCACACCTTTCTCTATTTTTCCAATTTGTTTATGCAGAATGTGAATTATTTCACATTCAGAAGAAAGCTTTCTAAAAATAAAATAATTTAAATTATTATATAGGCCATGCATGGCTGATGGCAACTTTTAGATATTTGTATACACTTAATTTCTGAAGCATTGAATATTGTAGGTCACTGGTTCTCAATCTGCCTGGTCTCAGGACTCCTTCTCAAGTTTAAAACTTATTGAGAACCCGAGACCTTTTGTTTGACCAGATTTCATCTACTGAAATTAGCTGTTAGAAATTTAAACTAAGAATTTATTTAAAATGTTTATTGAGGGCCGGGGATTTAGCTCAGTGGTTCCGCTGCCTGCCTTGCAAGAGCAAGGACCCGAGTTCAATACCCGGTACCAAAAAAATAAAAATTTTTAAAAATGTTTATTAAAATTACAATAAACTACATATATGCAAAACATATTTTATGAAAAATAACTGTATTCCCCAAAGCTAAAGTAACTTAGTGAAAAGAACAGCACTGTTCTCAATTCTTGCAAGTGGCTTTAGTATTTGACAACTGGATTCTCGCCTGCTTCTGCATTCCACCTGCTGTGACACAATTACTCTGGCTGACGTGTATGTCAAATATCCAGTCTTACAACAACTATGTACACAATTCAACAACCTTCTCGGAGAACTGTGGACATTCTCCTCACTGCATTCTTCTGAGTTCGCTGAATACCGTGTGTCACCGCAGGTCAGCGGGGGGCTCCCTGCAGTCACGGGGACCCAGGCACATGAACACGCAGTGTCCCCTCACTAAAGGCCAAGGGGCTCTGCATCGTCCACCCAGAGCTGCCACCTTGCATCTGCTCACCACTGGCCAGACGAGAGGACAGGGCCAAGGCCCAGGAGGACAGGCGGACACAGTTGGCGGCCTGCGCTAATGTCTGCCACAGCTTTGTGTCCAGCGAGTTTGTCTAATTATTGTTTTGTTTTTAAATAGCCAGACAGAATAGAGATACAATAAAAATTAAAGCCTCACCTTCATCCTCCCACAAGATCACAGCCTCATTTCCTTGAAAACTCCCAGTCCATACTCCACACTTACCAACTTGAGGTGGCAGTCCCCAGACAACTCTTGAGTTGGTTTCCTTCTTCAGACACAGAACTTTAGAACTTTATTAACAGTATACTGTAGACATCTTTTCTTTCAGTAACTTTAAAAAAAAAAAAGGCATAGAGTACTTGCATTTAGCAAACATACCACTGAAAAGGGAACTGCTTTTTCTTTTGTCACAAATGGCCGTGAACAGCTCTCTTAGAAGTATGTCTGAAGTATGAAGTATGCCACACTCCCAAGGGTCATACCGTTGCATCACAGTGCATTTTAAATTCTGCCAGACATCGCCCTACTTCCCTCTAACTCAGCTACAGTAGCAGTATACACAAGTTAACAGTGTGTATGAATCTGTGCGTTCCTGGCACTTCATCAGCCCTAGGCATAATCTTTTTCAGTTTTGTCACTCCACTATGTAGGAAATAGTAGGCCTAATTTATATTTCCTTAATTGTGAACTATTCATTTACTGTTAGCTATTACATTTTCCCTGCACATTGCCTGATCACATATTTGCTGGCCCTTCCCTCGACTACCTTGTCTGTTTCCTCGGAGGCTTCTGTTTAGTGAGTACAGCAGGCGCACCCTGCGCCCAAGGGCCACCTGACGGCAGACTCTGCCATCTATCAAGAGGGATTCCTTCGGGGTCAACCTTACTTTTGCAGCCTGGGCCAGTCTCCTCAGGTCCCCAGTCCATGACTGAGCATGAAGGAGGAAGAGCTGGCTGCTCTACCCAAGAGGGAGGCGGCTGAGCTCCCAACCCACAGTGCACCACAGTGCTTTCCCCAGCGCTGGGGCAGTCCCCTAAGGGAGGGAGGAGAGAAAGCAGCTGAGACCGCTTCCCTTAGCAGTCCAGGGTGTGGGCCCGGGGCACAGAGCGGGTTCCTGGGGAGCTCACGGGCTGGCACTCACATCATAGCCCCAGGGCTTCCTGCGCTCCACACTCCCTAGCATCTGCCTTCCAGAAAACCCAGCCTGTGGCAGTAAAAAACCAAAACCAAACCAGGCTTTGTCGTATTTCTCCCTGGTTTGTAGGATTTTTTCTGACTTGGTTCTTAGGGCTCAGCCTAGCAGAAGGTTTCACTTTTTATTTAGTAACAATGACTAGTTTTTCTTTGTATCTTCTGGGTTTTAAGTCCTCCGTATATGCCACAGGTATGAGAAAATCACCCATTTTTACTTTTATGGCAATGGTTCTTGCTGCGTAAATCCTGAGCCCTCTGAGCTTTCGGTGTAGGATTTAGGCAGTGATCTAAGCTCATTCTTCCAAGTGGCTCATTACGGAGTCCACTGACAGCCAAGCCTACTCACAACTGCACCACCCCCTCGGCCAAACATTAGGTTCACAGAGAACAGGAACATAGAGACATAGAGAGTAGGAACTTACTCTCTAGCTGTCTGCCCTGCTCTTCTGAGTAATCTGCCTGCTCTAGAATATGCTCAGATATACCTGCTGGTGAATTTTCCTACACTTTTTTTTTCCTTTCTAGTCTCCTAGTGTTTAAGAAACTCTGAATCATTTTGCAAAGTTTGTTTTCGTTTGTTTTGAGACAGGGTCTCACTATGTAGTTCATTCAGGCTGGCCTCAAACACAGCAACCCTCCTGCCTCAGCCTCCTGAGCTCTGGGATTATGAGTGCATGCCATCACACCCAGCTTCATTTTGCCAAGTTCTAGAGGGGGAGAGGGGGAAGGGGAGGGAAAGGAAGAGGGACAGGGAGAATTGGAGGAAGTTACAGTCCTTAACAAGCACCTTTCTACTGTACATTTCAGAAAGCTAGAAAAAAGGACTTTGAAGGCATTCACCGTATGATAGCTAGCTTTGATCATTACACAATGTATGTATTATCAAACACTAGTAGGTACAATTTTTACATTTTATGTATCAGTTAAAAATAAATTTAAATAAAAATCTTTATGTCAATGATAAAACTGGTTTTTACGGGTAAGTAAGCTACTTCCTTGTCTTTTGTCTTCTTGTAAAATTCAGTTCATTCACTCATTCTCCTGTACACAAACATGGTTGAAAAATATAATTTCTCCCATCGTGCGTACCCTCTGATAGCTCAGCTGGTAGAGCGGAGGACAGCCATTCCCCATCCTATTAACAGAGACTCTCTTGTTCCTTCAGCTAATTTCATCTGCTTCTAATTCCAATGTAGCATGGCAGTAGGAAGAGTTTGTTGCATGTGTTGTTTCTGGCTTAAGAGACTATCGCTCCCAGTAATTTGGAGTTAAGAATAATTCTCAAGTATTTATGGAATAAACTGTGTGCCAACAGGATTTTACCCTAAAATAATCTAGGGGTGGGGAAAACAGTCTGGTGTATGTGTAAGTTTGTGTACATGCAACAAGAGGGTTAAACATTGCTCCTATTCTCCCTATTTTTGCATGTTCCTTAATAGAAACGAAATTTGAGGCTGAAGGATTTCTGATGTGGAAATCTTTTAAGAACATTTTGCTCTTCTCTTCTTGGCAACTACCCACTAAAACGACAAGGAGAGTGAGAGGCAGAAACAATCACTGATAAAACTAGAGAAGTTTGTGACCCAAACCACAATACATGAAGAAGGAAAGCAGATATCTGGGACTGGCAATGGCTCTGCAAAGCAGAGGAGGGGAATCCTGCAGACACAGAGTTCATTTTGAAGAGCTTTTACTCAGCCGAATCTCACCTCTCCATCGTCCAGCCAGGACACCAAGGGGAATCAACCAGAGACAGAAGTGAGGATGGTGGATGCCTGGGTAATGTTTTAGCTTTTCCTTCTCTGGGACAAACTACCTGACACCTGCAACTTAAAGGAGGGGAGGTTTATTTGGCTCATGGTTTCGGAGTTCAGTCCATGGTCGCTGGCTCCAAGGTGGGAACATCATGGCAGAAGGGGGTGGCAAGGACAAAGCTCCTCACTTCATAGTCAGGAAGCAGAGCAGGCGAACAGTGCCAGAGAGGAAGGAAGGAGTCGGGAACGAGCTATAGACCCCAAGGTCAAACCTGCATGACCCACCCAGAGACACCCAGAAGTGGGCTTTACTAACCCTTAGGAGCCCCCAGGCTGATCAAGTTGATGATTAAACTTAACCATCAGAAATATCAATTGGAAGACCACCCGCTTCCAGCTCCCAGGTTTGATACTGTACCTATGCCTGTGCTGGAAACTGAGGTTTCTTCCCTAGGCCACTCCCTAAGCTAGGGAAAGCACAAGCACCCCACTACACCATTATCACTGACATTTGTTTGGACACCTCCAGATCCTGACAGTGGGGAGCACCCCCGTGAAATGTGATTCCCACACTCAATACATCCCACCCAGGGCCACCACCCTTCTGCTGACCCGGGAGATAGGCACTCTCACCTACATGATTGCCAGGGTGTGGAGAAAACTCCAAGGAACCCAACAGGGAAAAAGAACCCAGAGAAAACAGTAATAGTGCACAGCTGGCAGAAACTTCAAAGCTGCAATAACACACTCATGGTGATACTAGACAATACTGCATCCATACATAAACAGATGCTGGTTTTTGTTTTTTTGGTTTTTTGTTTTGCAGCACTGGGGATTGAACTCAGGACCTTGTGCTTATGAGGCAGGCACGGTGACATTGAGCTAACTCCACGGCCCTAGATGCTGTAATTTAAAAAGTACGCACTGCTGGGGATTTAGCTCCGTGGTTCCGCCGCCTGCCTCCCAAGTGCAAGGTCCCAAGTTCGATTCCTGTTACCAAAAAAAAAAAAAAAAAAAACCCCCACAAAATGGTACAGTAATATAACCACGTTAACTTCAGGAATACATCTGAATATCAATATGTGAATGTAAATATTCATTCATGGGTTTTGGGGAAGAGCCAGACCTCCCATGGTGCCAGATCAGGGAACAAGATGGGTGAGGACACAGTGTAATATTCTTATGAGCTGCCTTTCTGTTGGATA